GTATAAGAGACAGCTTATGTTTTGCATGCCTTAGCGGTTAGACCATTGACCACGCGTCCTCGAGAGGATGGAGCATTGCTCCCACAGGACCGATCACCGATGGCCAATCGTTTCAGGACGGGGGGGAGGTGTACTAATGTAAAAGCATGAGGTAGTCGTCAGACCGCTGGCCTCACACGACGAGGCATACATACGACACAGCGGGCGAGCGCGAAGCCCGCTCGAGTAGCTCGGTACAGCGACCTAAGCCTACCCATTGCCCAACAACCTAGCTTGGGGTGTGGGTTAGGGTTAGGGTTAGGGATAGGGTTAGGGTTAGTGTTAGGGTTAGGGTTAGGGTTAGGGATAGGGTTAGGGTTAGGGTTAGGGTTAGGGTTTAGGGATGGGTTAGGCTTAGTGAGGCCTAGCGCCGTGGTGTAGCCTGAGGGCTGGAAACCTGCTGGTGGCTTTGGTTTCGTGCCTACCTCTAACTACAAACCCAAAAACTGTTGAACTGGCGAGTGCTAGAAGGTCACCAGCTTTTGCGTGCTTTTTACGCGCGCCCGGCCTCACATTCCGGGACGGAGCGATGTGCCGGGTTTTCGCTGGCCCAGGCTTTGAACGTTTCACAAGGACAACCAAGCTGGCTATGATCCTTGCGTTTTGCTGTGCCAACTCAGAGATGCCAATGGGGTTTCGAGCATCCCGGCTAACCAAACGTCATGGGACGGGGGAGGCGATATTGTTTGTTTCAGCAGTCGATCATTGAACACCCACTGGGTATCGCTTCAGCGAGAACGAGGAAAGGACCCTCCCGGCGGCCGGTTCAGGGGAGGGTGCTGTGGTGCATTGAATGGTGTTTCTTTCTGCGGTTGTGGTTCGGTGTTGTCCTACGTGGGAGCCGCGGGGACACCCTGCAGGACTGGAGACATCGTACCCCCCTGGATCGTTGTTCAAATATCGGTTAGCAGAAAGATTTGCGGTGCCGTCAATAGCGGCGTGGAACCGCCTCGTGGAGAGAGCTTTCCGCAAACGCATCGTTCATGTAATATGCATCTTCTTCGCCGCGGAGTTATCGAGCTTTGAGAATCGGCCCATGGGGTGGGTGATATCTTCCGTTATGTCACCTAACGGTACGAACGCATACATGCCCATTCGGGAAGGATAAACCAGCCTGCACGCTCCCCCACCCACCCGTACCCCATGTCCTTCCTCGTCTTCTCCCGCCAAACTCGTTTTCTTGCAGAAACTGGCCGGCGCGAACAGGCTGATCCCGGAGGTGAAGTCGCTACAGGAGGCCAACGAGACACTGCGCGCCGAGCTCGCGGTCGCTAGCGACCGGCGTTCGGAGGTGGAGCTGGAGCTGGCGCAGGTACAACACACCCGTCAAGACTGCCTGTTCGATTTTTGTACGTAGCTGGCCGTGTTTACAGTATGTGTGCGGGAAAAAGATGATAGTGTTGTGTCCCTCCAGCCCCATGTACCTCAATACCTCACGCCGCTTTGCGCTTGGTAAGGTGATGTGAGAGCCTGGTCCGGTGAGAACCCGGCGTGCTCCGTCCCGACTTTGTAGGGATGCGAGGTCCATGGTCTAACGACTACGGCATGCACGACTATAAGCACACACACACGCCACCCTATCCGAATTTTGCACACCGCGAGCCCCCTGTCCGTGCCGTCCCCCCTGGCCTCGACTGACCCCGGACCTGGCCTCCTACGGACACCTCGAGCAGCTGAAGGTGTACCGTCCGCTTGTGGAGCGTGCGGACTCCATCGACCGGAGACGGGTCGCCGCCGAGGAAGGGCTGCGAGCGGCCACGGCGGAGCTCGCGCGGGAGAGGGATGCCTTGGCGGCGGCGAAGGACAGGGCCGCCGAGCTCCGGCTGGCGCTGGAGCGACGGGGGTCGAGACTAGCGGAAGCGGAGGCGGAGGTGCGGACCGATACTGTAGATTGTACCGTGCGTGCGTGGGGGGGGGTGGGGGGGGGGTACTCATAGTCGTGCATGCCGTAGTCGTTAGACCATTGACCTCGCATCCCTACAAAG